ACATATACACGCACACACACACACACTCGTATATGTACATACATATTACATGTGTGTATATATATATATATATGTATGATAGCCCCCCATGTGCCCAGATTTCTGTTGCGTGTTAAAGGAACGTCTCTGACGCTTACATGCCTCGTCAAAAAAGAACTGCATGGTAATCCCACCCTCTTTGACCGAAAGAGCAATACAGTGTTCCCTCGGAAGAAACACGCTGTACCAATAGGCACAATTCCAGGAAAACTCCGAAAATCAAATGACTTCGTGGAGATTTTTGTGTGTACATATATATATCACAATGTTATGCACATACATCGGTTTTTGGGGTTTTCAACATCTGCATCAGCTTCAACCCCGGGGCTTTGAGGGTTGTAGTAGGCTCTAACAGGGCTGTTTTCTTTTGAGGGTGCTTTTGCAGACAAGTCTTGGGGTTTGGAATTTGCTGCTACACGGCTTTGGGTACAGGGGCTCTAAGAACAGGGTCGGTCTCCGAAGTCAATCAAGTAAGTGCTTGATTGTTTCAATCAAGGGTAGACCTGTTTAGGGCTAGTATATATATATATATATGTATATATATATATATACTATTGTAACTATATATGTAGGGCTTAGGGATGCCACGGAAATTCCTCTTGATTACTGTTGAGAGCAAGTTGCGGTTTAGGATTTAGGGCTTTCAATGATATTCATCCTACTCAATAACTAGGGCTGGGGGCGCCAGGAATATCGAATCCGACTTCGATGAGAGGCAGTGATAGTCTTGAGCTACAGGTTGCGCTACTCCATGCATCAGACAGACCCTTAAGCCCTAAAGCCTCATAACACCGACTAGAACCGGCGTTCAATCACCACAAAACATAAGCCTATTGTGCGTGAGCTCCAAACCCCCAGCATCCCGGCCAAGGGTCCGTGCGAGGCCCACTGTGCAGGGTACCATCTTGGCGGAAGATCTGGGCTGTCTGGCCGTCCTTTCTCATGGAGTCATGGGGTGCTGTTGGGCTTAAAGGTCAGACTGTTTCTATGGGTAAGGATTTGGGGCTTAAGGGTGGAGGGTCTGAGGGTTAAGGGTTGAAGGCAACTTCAGGGCTTCTGATGTTGAGCTTGGGTAGACTTCTTGACACAACGATTCATGCTTCGGGATTCGGAAGGGTTCGAGGCTGAGGGGGTTTGGGTGGGCTCAGGGTTCAGGACTTGTGGCTTGGAACTGTTTGGGGTTTAGAGATCTTTAGGGCTTAGGGCTGAGACTTGGGGGGCTGAGGATGTTCTTAGGGGTCTGGGGTCCGAAACCCTGGTTCCTCCTCGCGGTTACCAGGGACTCATGCCTAAGTCTTATAAGTCCCTTCCCACATACCCCGAACCGTGAAACCTGCACCCGCCACACCACAAGACAAAGCAGCGTCCAAGCAGAGAACCCGTCCCCCTTTCAGTCCTGGTGCGCGATGCTGAAGTGAGCCCCATCTATCTGGCCCATACGCCACTTCCCGATCTGAATAAATTGTGGCCCAAACGTGATCCCGGATGGGAAGCCTCGCACAAGGTACACTCATGGAGATTCAGCGATATTCCTACCTAGAGCAGAGATCCTGGGCAAGCTTTGGATGATGTGTGTTCCTGCTTTTGATTGTCAATCGGTATACTATGTCGTCGACTACAACAACACGTTCAGCATCTTCAAGCAAACATGCGCCTTGTCTTTCTGCCGGCGTATCCTGACCCTAAACTTACGAATCACCTACACCCCGACGTACACCGCTTTGAAATTGGCTTCCCTGCCATTTGCCCTCAAACCGGGGCCTAGCGGTCTGCCCCAGGCACTGAAGTCCTTCGTTGTGCCCAAGGCTTAGTCGGGCTTAGTGTTTTAGTGTTTTGGTGTTGAGGGTTTGAATTAGAACTAAACGTTACAAGGCTTAGTTAGTTTCAGGGTGCTGGGTTCAGATTCCAGGCCTGGGGTTTAGGGGCTCCAGTCGACACTAGCTAGAAAAAATCATCTGCACGGCTGACGCGCTTCTACCAGCATTCTATGTACAACGGCTCTATACCAGTCCCATTCACGTCTGTACGGGATGTGCACGGGTGGCTTAATGGCCCTGGCTCAAAAGCTACATCCAAGCCGAGGCCTACAGTTTGTCATAAGAAACTGATGGCAGTGCCTCGGAAATGACACCCAAACTGAGGTCGACGTAGTGTTGCGAAAGTATCCACTCTATCTCCTTTACTGATAATATTTTGCGAAACATTGGAAACGAATGCGAACGTTTTGCACCTAAATTGGCGCCTATTCCGGGGTTACGTGAGTGTGGGTGCCACGAACACAGAGTAGTGAGGAATCGTTTCAATGAAAAGCCCAATGCATAGTCCGAAGAACATCGCACAAACAAGCACAACTTCCGAGCCTGAACTGTTAACGTGGAGCCTGCTCGTACGTACCCACTACGTAACCCCAAACTTGTAACTCCCCACCGGAGGCTCGCATCCCAAGTCTGTCAGGCCGGAACCCTCGAAGTCGACAAAACACAACAAATGAACCCTTAACCCTAAACCCTACACCCTTAACCTTAAACCCTTAAACCCTTACACCCTTAAACGTAAACCCTGCAAGCTGGACCTTTTCCTGCGGCCTTGAAACATGAAGCCTGCAGGCCCTTCCATTGGCCACGCTGCATGTCTTTGTTCAGGAGTTTAGGGTTAGGGTTTATGTTTATGATCTCGTCGATAGGTAGCTAGGTAATCAAATAGATAAGTAGATAGATAGCTAGATAGTACTCAGGTAGCCAGGTGGCTGGGCGGGTAGGTAGGCAGATTGACAAATAGATAACGGATAGAGGATGGATGGATAGAGGGAAGGATGGCTGGATGGTTTCACACCAGAAAGACCCCGCTTTGCAGCCGTCCCAGAGTCACTCCGCGGCCCGCCGTGCACGGTCCCATCTGCGCGCCAGATTTGTGATGTCACTCCGTCCTTTCATAGGTCCGGGTTTCCGTGCTGCTCGGGTCCAGGAGGTGTAGCTGGAGCAAATGTGCATGGGACTCAGTAACTACTGGGTGTCGGGGTGTAGAAACACCACTCATGTCAAAATGAAGGGCATCCCTGGTCTCTGAGCAGGTGATGTCGGGATTAGTCTTGACATCCTTTGAAGGTTTGAAACTGGGAAGACTTCCGAGAACCCGAAGCTGAAAAACACAAGTCGAACCCTATGTCCAATGTCCGTGTTTGCAGCACCCTAAACCCTAAACCCTATAAAACCCTAAGACTTGCTGACAAGACCAGGCGTGTCAGGGCTGTCCACAGACTAGGGGCCCGAAGGACGACACAACCGTAAGGATCTCACGCTCAAAGGTTTCGCGGGATTTCAACGGTTTGGGGGTTTAGGGTTTAGGGTTTAGGGTTTAGGTACTTTAGGGTTCTATAATAGGGTCCCCTTTAAGGGAGTACTGTAAGGTTCTCTAGTCGGGTCCCCGTTAACGGTACTGTAAGGTTCGATGATAGGGTCCCCCCTTTAAACGGGCTCCGAGAAACTTGACGTTCCCTTGATGCTCCTTACCATCAAGCACATGAATGAAGCTCTGGCGGCAAGAGTCCACTCTAAGCCCCGACAGCCTATCTCCTTCAAACAACAGGCACAAAGAAGCTCAAGCTTTGCAAAAGAAGGCGACATGCAAAACATGCACAACCTTTCGCAACAAAGGAAACCAACAACATGTCAGGCTGTCCAGGAATGAGCAAAATCCAAACCGTGCCAGCTCAAGCCTTACAAAAATAATCGCACGACATGTGCATGCTGTCAAGACAACAGTACAGGGATGGAACGCAAACTATGTGGAATTCTCCTATCCGATTGCTGAGAATCCTAAACTTCGCACAATGAGACCCGCCGCAGAGTCCTTGTGTGAAATCGAGAAATGTGTCTGATCAATCGCTGCCAGACGCCAATCTCCCAGCTGGATAAAGCGATCCTCGTGGGTTCAGGGTTTTGGGTCTTACTTTAGGACTTAGGGTGTAGAGTTCTCTGCCAGGGCGTACTTTAGAATGTTCTGGTCATCGCTAAACTCAGCAGCCCGGAACAAGTTGAGCACCTGTCGGGATGGGCAATACGGGGGTTTCCGAAAATAGGGGACCCTAATATAGTACCCGAAAGAATAGGATCCTTATTATAAGGACCCCAAGACAAGGTACCCCTTATGTTCGGAAACTCCCATATTCGGGCACGCAATCTGGAACTCTGCCTGACTTCTGGGGCCTACACTTGCTCAGGAGGCAGATAAAGAGATAAACCTAATCAAACAGCGGGAGTTTGAAGCCCAAACCCTCAAAACCACTGAAGGCTTTCCAAAGTTTAGGGTTTAATGGAGTACTGTTTGAGGATGTTATAGGGCTTCAGGAGTGCGGGCGACTTAGACACCCCAAACAGACCACTAGAAAGACTCAAGGCACTGCAACGCATCTCGAGTGTACGTCCTTAAGAACCTTCATGTCCCCGAGAACTGTCCTACGGAACGGTTTAGGGTTTAGGGTTAAGGGTTTTTTTTGTTGAGCACCTTTTTCCGTCTACTGTCACCAGCGTCAGGAATCCGCATGCGCGGAAGGGTTTAGGGTTTACGGTTTCCACAGCCCGCTCTGCTTCGGAGATGAGCGAGAAATGAAGGGCCTCAGAACTCTCAGTCCAAGGTCCAGAACACCCAAAACCCCAGCGTCCTGAGGCCTCAAACCCTGAACACAACACGGACCACCCAAACTCGTAAAACTCCAAAGGGACCCCAGAACTCGCAAATGCAACAATCCCAAAACAAGAGAGCTCCGTCGCTGGTTTTAGGATGCGTTGATTCAGGTTAGGTGCGTGGAAGGTGAAGCCCAAAACTTGGCTTACCTTCTTAAGAAGGGCAGGGTTCTGAAGGCTTGAAGGATTGGAAAGACTTAACCAGTATTAGCCGGTAGCCAGAAACGTGCTTCTGGGAGACCCTTCAGAACTTCAAGCACACAGCACAGCCAGCAACAAAAACGCATAACACTTCCAACACATTCCAGAACCCTCGAACTTTACTGAACCCGAAACTCGAAGCATCCCCCTAAACTCCTGTAAACACCGAGCCCTAAGCCCCTCTATACCCCTTTAAGGGAACCCTATAGTTGCCTTAAGTTGTAGAACGAACCCTGACCCGAAGAAGAGACCGAAGTCGCAGCTCAGGCTCGCCAAAAGCCGCCCATCCGCTGTCGCAGGCTCCGTATGCCATCTCGGGCAAGTCCTCGTCAGTTTAGGGGTTTAGGGCTCAAGGGGATTTAGGGTGTAGGGTCTACGGCCTAGGGTTGAGGGTTTCGGTGCTTAGCAGGGTTCAGGGTTGTGTTCTGCCAAACCGACAGATTTCTCCTGCCACGACATGAGGCCTTTGCTGGAAAGTACGACAAAAACTGCTGCCATGTAATCGCTGCGAGAAATGTGGAGAGAACTGCAAGGCCCCCACCACCCGGCTTGAAGGTTGGAGGATGTTTTGAGGAGGCGAGTGCTGCTGCAGTTTACGGTTTCATATACAAGCCCTATATGATGTACATGTACTGGAATTCCAGGTGCTTAGGCTTCAAGGCCGACAGTAAGTTCAGGGGTGGTTAGTGTTACTACATGTGCTACAATTGCTGTGACTACGATTGTAGTTGGTATTACCACTATGATCGCTGGTATGTTGAATGCACTTCCATGGGCTTGTTAAGGCCCGCGCTTTGGGGGACTTGCGAATTCGAGAATTCGAAGAGGGTCTTGGTGCATCTACTAGTAGTAGGTAAACTAAACTATACCCTAAACCCTAAGCAAAAAATGAGGATCCATGAGGATCTTGAGGCCCCTGCATAAGTCCCAAAGGATGAAGCCCCAAACGCCATTAAAGCCACAATCGAAGCCTCGCCGTCCCCAGGGTCTAAGGCTTCCGTATGCCCCAGTAGAAACCTTCGGGTTTTGTTTTTAGGGCATTGCTGTTGCGATTGGAGGCGTCGCCCTTGACATTCAGGACGAGGGGATCCTAATTCCTGAATGGGTCTACGAGTTCCAAGATGCACTGGGGGAGGTCACAACACCTGATTCTAGACCCTCGTGAATCAGAGGCCCTGAGTAACAACATCCCTTTACAGTCCTTATACTCTAACTAAAGGCATGACATCCCTGTCCTTGCAGGTCCACGCGCTGGGGCCTCTTGTGGAGATTGCCGCGGTCCAGTCGGTACGGGGTCCTTCAGGCGTATACAAAGCTTAAGATCCTGGGTTCAGGGTTGGACGGTGTAGGGCGTCGAGCTGCTGGTAGTAGGTAGACTCTGAGGAAGATTGTTCGCGGGCATGCTCAAGCGCTCATTGTTCTCAATTCGAAAGACTTTGACGGGAACATAAACGGTAACAGAAGCTGTTGTCCGAATTGACGACTGGGTGTTCGAGGCTTTCTACAGAAAGATGACTCCTGTCATTTTTCAATAGTGTATTGTAACATGACTTGGTAAAGTTCACAGGGGGCTAGGTTACTTGCATTGAACCGATGCGGTGTGCTAATAACAGTACCAGCAGTGATAATAGCAATGATGCAAGGCTGCAAACCACAAAACTAACCATAATAGTACTGCTAATGGAAATAATGGCAACAACAACACCACCGTCACTACTGATAATATAACAACAACTATAATGAACCAACAATAACCATGCCAATAACATTAACAATAACAATATCGATAACAACAGTACTAATGATAATCGCAACAAAAAGAATACTAAGGTTGGCATAATCACAATACTAATAACTAATAACATTACTGATAGCAATAGTACCAGTGACAAGGGCAATTAATAAGGGTAAGAAGAAGAAGAAGAACGATCAACATGGTAACCACGACACTAACACGCTAATACCCGCTGACAGTAACAACCAAAATAAATGGCACTAGGAGTAACATCAAGCATAATGAAACAAGACATGAATGCGACACCAACACTTAACACCAGCAGCAACAATACCAGCAGCACCACCACCACAACCACCATAATAGTTTCAATAGTAAAAGTAACAACAAACATGAATAGTAGCAAGAGTAAGAATAACAATCACAAACATAATAATAATAATAATACTGATAATTGTGCCCACGATGATAGATATAACAAATTTGCAGTCATAGCAAGAATCACAATAATCGTCATCATGATCATCAGCGGCATAATGCTCGTAATCTCAATAACTGTTGGGTCTCCGACTCCGGTGTTTGCTTGGAGGTGTCGAGAAACGAAAAGGTTTTTTGGGAACTTCGGAAAGCGGGCAGCGAGCCCTACGGTTTAAGGTTTGGGGTTTAAGCCCCAGACGCGTTCCCTCTCATGTCGGAGGCGCATCAACCGCAAGCTAACCCCTGCATTTTCTTGGCCCCATCCGGGGCCTGGGTGCAGCGTGCCATCGCGACGATAAATCTGGATCGTCTGTCCTGGGGGGACCGGGTCTGAGTCGGAGCGAAAACGTAAACCCTGGTGTCCGACACCAGTCGAAGCTACCAGAACATACCCGAACTACTAAGTGCACTCAAACAGTCTCCCAGCGGCCGCTGTCGTGGGTGACCAGGAAGTGACCGCCATCGGCATCGCCCAAGCGGAACTTTCCCAGCTGCACGAAGCCTGGGTGGGAGCCCGCTCGGGTGCAGCTTTTGCCGCGAGAAGAGCTGTAGAGCAGAGTACTAGCTGAGTAATGATTAGTAGATGATGCCGTTCCGACAATTGGAAATACTTGACGGGATTAAAGCCCTCACACCCTAAACCCTAACTAAGCTTAAACCCTGAGCCCTAAAACACTGCGAACCCTCAAACCCGACAAGCCTGAGCCGCTAAAAATCAAACCCTGAAATGCCTAAATCGAGCAGCGGTCGCCAGCCGTGATGCCCGCAGGCATGGACTCCTAGGCCGTTCAGCAGCCCAATCGGAAGGAGGATTTTCGCGAGAACCCAGACACACCCCCAAACCCAATAAAGCCTAACCCTGAACCTGAACCCTATAAGACCCTAAACCCTGAACCCTAAACCCTATAAAACCCCAAACAAATCCCACGGCTAAAGAACCGAGGCTCTGGGCGGTCCCAGGTCGAAAAATCGGTTCTGGGCCCCGAGTGCAGCGTGCCGTCATTTCGGAAGATCTGCGCCTCGCTTTTTAGGCGGCTTAGGGTTTAGGGCTTGAGGCTTTCAAGCTTTATAGGTTTCTGCATAATAGGGTTTAGGTGCTTTGGGTGTTTGGACCTCGTTGAGTACTTGGGTCTATGAGTATCAAGCTTCAGCCCATTGACCTGAAAGCCCGAGCTGCGGGTTTCGGGATGAGGTTTAGGGTTTAGGGCCGAAGGTCCTGCCACCATGGGTAAAACCCTATGAGCCCTGGGAATCTCGTTGCCAATCTTAGGTGCCGTTTTGCCGCCGATGTGGGCTATGGAAAGGTGGGTCTCGTCGACAGCTCCCACGCGAAACTTCCCGATCTGCAGGCAGTGTTGGGCTGGAAGAAACCACTTACTCAGTCTTACTCCTTTCCGTACAACGGTACAGCCTTGCGACATGTACGTTCAAGGCTTAGGGTTCGAGAAGGTTTGGGGAATATGGGCTTGTGAGGTTTAGGGCTGCAGGGTGTAGGAGCTGTACTATAGGGGCCTGAATAGTTACCTATACTATTTTGGGGGGTTCCTTATTAATTATAGCAGAAGATACCCCAAAACCCGACTCTGACTATGAAGGCCTCTACATTTGGGTCTCATGGTTCAGTGTTGTGGGGCTTCAGGGTTCATGGTGCGGGGTTCAGGGCCAAGGGGCTGGGGTTGAGCATCCTGACATGGCGAGCGATTTGGGTTTGTAGGCTTAGGGATGTAACATCTATGAGTTGAGAGCTAGAGACTTTAGGATGGAGGGATCAAGGTGATACATCCCCAGAGACTCCCAAAATCCCCCAAGCCAGTTCAAAGACCTACACACCCTCCAAACAATCGTAAGAATCCTATGTGAAAAAATCACCTTTAAAGCCTTTGCTATAGAACCGTTCTCAAAAAAACAACGAAGTGCGGATGCACAAAACCTGGACCCTGTCATGAACAGCAAAACGTCTGAAGTGCCTGCGTGTGCTGGAAGCCTTCAAACGCCACCAGGAGCGCTGCAATCCTTACAAGACCCTTCTGAAAGCCCCTTCCAGCCGGCCTGAACGTACCGGAGGCCGTATAACAACGGTAATGCCGTAATGACCGTAGTACAAAGCACTATCAACCATAAAGACCCCATGTGGAGCGCTCAAAAAAAACTTATTGTAGAACTCCTCAGAGGTGCCTGGATGCACTGGGAGCCTTTTACACACTAGCTGATTCTGATTTAACGTGTAGGGTTTAGGAAACCCTTACCCGCCCGAAACCCTAAACCTCTATCGCCCCCCCTCCCCTTCCCCCGCCCCCTTAACCCCCCCTCAACCCTGAACCCAAAAACCTCCCCCCGCACCCCAAGTCCTCAACTCTAAACCAAGCCCCTTTCCCCCGTAAACCTTTTTGCCCTCTGAAAGGCCTGGATGAACTGGAAGCCGAAGCTGATACCCTTCGCCGCCCCGATGGACCTGCCCCAGGCGTTAAAGTCCTGAGCAGATACCCATCGCCGAGTGAAGGGCTTAGCTCTTTTGAAGAGATGGGATCAATCGCAGCTTTTGAGGCGATTTCAAGCGCCGTCGCCGGGCCTACTGTGGGGCCCACGTTCAAAATCTGAGATCGAGCGCCATCGATCAACGACGGGTGAGCTGAATCCCCTCACCAACCGCCCCATCGCCTAATGTAAAGACGTAGGATCAACCGCCTGCAATGGGGGGACGCGTTTAAGATCTGAGATCAGCCGCTCTCGACTCATGACGAGATGGGTTTAAGATACCTGTTCATCCTCAGCTTCTTCAGAATATGATGGCCGTCTTGGCCTTGACTCCAGGCTGTTTTCTGCTCAAGTTACGTGTCACACCGTGAAGGTCACTGCGGAAGTACTGTAGGTCGTGGGATCGAACGCACTTGCCTGGGGGATTTGAGAGACTGTAGGGGCCTTCATCATTAGAATAGGATCTTGGGGTATGTCATACTATACTATATACTTACAATAACGAACCCCCAAAATAGTACAAACATTAAGGCCCCTAAAATACGAGTTCAACCGCCATCGCCTACTGGGGTGTTCAGGATGTGATATCCGAGCCATCGTCTCAAGAGGGCGCCATAAGACTCGATGAGGGGACGAGTTCAAAATGGCACAACAGCCGTGGCTTTTTCAAAATCGTTCAAGCTTTCGAAGTCGCAACTCGGTGGATCGTTAAACTTTCGAACTCGGCAGGTTTCTAACCTTCAAACTTGCTGAAGCTTCCCCAACCCTCGAACTCTCAAACTTTCGAACTTTCATGCCGTTCAACCCTTCAAGCTCCCAACTTTCGAACTGTCACCGCTGTGCCCAGCCAAGGACCGAACCTGAAGCCAACTTTGCAAACTCCAAACTCTCGAACTTTCTAACTTAGAAAGTGCAGAACCTTCCAACTCGAAACTTTCGAACCTGTCAAAACTGCAACTCTCAAATTTTCAATTAAGTTCAACATCTCCAATTTTGAGAGCCGACCGAACTCGGCCGCGGCAACAGTTCGAACTTTGAGCTCGAAGCAGCTGGTCGAGCCCGAAAGTTCGAAAGTTTGAGAGTTTGAACGGTTGAAAGTGTCGACATTGAAAGTTTCGAGTTTGCAAGTTTCGAATTGTGACAGCACTTTTCAAACCTTCAAGTGTTGCAGTGTTCAATCTTCAAACCTTCAATCTCTCAAACCGTCGAGTTTGAACGATCTCGCTCGGGACACCATGTGCTTGCTTTCCCCAAAGAAACAGGACAAAACAAACGCATCATCTCGAGGGTTTCCGGCGCTCACAGGCCGCGACAAACCCGTGGACAATTATAAGCATTAGTACTTTTCGTACCATTAGTATGAGTAGTATTATTAAGTATTATTACCATTATGACTACTATTTGTCATGATTATGATGAATATCATTGCTATCCGTGTTGCCTTTTTTGGGGAGGGCCCTGGCTGCGCCTCTGGGTGCCAGGTGTGGGGCGGTGGGCTTTTGGTGGTGAAGGGGTTCTTTCCTGACTGAGCGGAGCAGTCATTCGCCGTGGGGCGGGGGGCTCAGCGTTTTAGAATTTGGGGTTTAGGGCCTTGGGGGTTTCACGGTTTCGGTTGTAGGACAGATTCCCCCTTCTGGAAGCTACAGCTGAGACTCATTGCGTGGCCCTGGATGCAACGTGCCATCCTTGTGGAAGATCTGCGCCGTTTTCCCGTCCTGCCGAGAAGCCCAAGGCGAAATCCCGATTCCGAGACCTCCTCTGATCCCCTACCAGAAACACGATAACACGATGCGACAGCACTATAATACTAGACCACCATCGCACCATCATACTACAGTTCTGCAATGCAGTTTAGGGTGTAGGACCGTAGGATCTGGGATTGAGAGTGGTTTCAAGCCAAACCGGAAACCTCAAAACCCTGCACTCGAGCCTCAAAGACTGCACCGGCGCATACTATAATACCACGACACAATACGAGAATACCATAATACTATAATATACGATAATGCTAGAACTATAACACTAGAATACGATGCTACAAGTACCATGTTATAACCCTATACAGCTACAAAAGCGAGTGTCCTTATGTGAGATGCTGAAGTGGTTGTCGTCAATCGCGGCCAGGCGCCAGCGACCCAGCTGAATGAAGCGGTCCCCCATGGGAAGTTCATAACACGCTGACGCCGATGATGTGGTGTGCACCTAGACGGAGAGGTTCATGCTTCAAAAACAGTCCATAGGATTTTAATTCTTAATCCACTACTTTGTCTGCTGCTCTCCCCGTCGCCTACAGTTTTCCCATCATAGTATACACCCCAACAGCCCTATTCAGCCGACCCTCGGGCGCATCATCACTGGGCCTTCCCGCAAGTATGGTGTGGGCATGAGTCTCCCGGCTCTTTTCGGCCCTCTGGCAAAATGCGACATGCAGCATACTTGCACGTGTCGAGTGATTCAAGTGCAGCTGGTTGTGCTTGGGCGTATGGCTTCAAGATTGGAGCCCTCAGTCGCCGACCTCTGCGACAGGTATAGTTTTGATGCCGTTGTTGTGGCTGCTGCTGCTGCTGCTGCTGCTGCTGCTGCTGCTGCTGCAGAAGGGAAGGAGATCAAAGCATCTTATGATATAGCGGGGGGACCTTGGCAAATGCAAGGAGACATGTACTGGAAATCCGCTAACAACAACGTGCATAACCTTAGCTCCCTCCACTAGTTTGATGCGACATTCAAAAGACACTCGATAAACACTCTGACCACTGCCAAGGGACTCGTATCATAGACTACATAGGCCCTGTGTTGGAGTTCGGTGCAATTTGGAGGTCTGGGGGGCGGGTGGGGGTGGGTGGGTCCCACCAGACAAAGCTTCCTTGACTGAATAATGTTGACCTTTCCGGATGTGGGCTCCGGATTAGTAGTAATTAGTACTGGTAGTAACCATCGTAAGAGCAAGACAAGGAGTACGAGTGATAGCAATAGTGATAGCAATAGCAGCAGTAATAGCAATAGCAATAGTCATAGTAGGAGTGATAGCGATAGTAATGGTGGCAGTGACAGTCACGCAACAATAAGTTTGATAGAAGACAGCTACGGGCCGACAATGGTTGCATTGATGGATATCCCTGTAAAAAGCCCGAAACAACTCTGTAATTCGGGAGAACTTTTCCACCAACACGAGGTTCGGGCTTCAGTGAGATTACCAATCTTGCAATACAGGGCGACCCCATGCTACTCAGACCGTTACATTCTTGGAGTTCGTCATTGTCAAGAGCACCCTGTTTGACAGTATGCTGCAACTTGGCATCCTCCTCCCCTTGCGTTGTTGAAGGGCTGGGTCTCTCAGCCATAGCGAACATCAACATCAATGCAGTCGATTGACGGGACCTAGGGGTGTGCATCCTCATCATCATCGTCAAAATCGTCAGCATTAAAACATACTGAAAGGTTCGACGGTAGCCCGGGTATTGGCAGGCCGACGGTACTACAATGGCAAGTGTACTTCACCTCAGGGCTAAGACTGATGAGCTGGCTGCGCAAGGTCCGGCTAGGATTTGTCTGCCCAAACCCATTCTAAATGCCGATGGCAGCACGTTCTAACAAACACTACAAGGCCGACCATCCGAAACCCGAACCACGTTAACTAAAACAAAGGGGGGTAAAGGGATATATTTTAGTATACTTGACCTAGAGAACCCCCGCTGGAAATATGGGGATAGTGATCTAAGCCTCTATATTAGCCCGAAACCCTAAACCCTATATTAGCCAGGGAGCATGCTCGGAAACCTGGTCTGCGGGGAGGATGGTCACCGCGGCCGGTGGAGGTCGGCCGGCAAACTTGCAACCCAGCTCCTTGGTTGCTGATGCGTCAGGTGTCATATGGGAGGTTCCGAAAAATAGGGTACCCAACTTTGGGGTCCTTATAATAAGGATCCTACTATCTAGGGTACTTTCTTAGGGTCCCCTATTTTCGGAAACCCCATATAGGGGCCCTGTTTCATTAGAATGTAGAATGGGGTATCTTACCCTATAAAGATATCATAGGGAAGACTAAGGAATGAAGGAATCATATCGACAACTAAATTAAGCTTCTACATTGCATTGAAGGTTGGGGGGAAGCGTTCAGGGTTGTAGAGAGTATGTACATATTCTATTGACACGAGAAAAGTATTCGGCTGCCACTTTTTCGCCCTAAAGTCTGGGAACAGGCTCCAACGAGAGAGTAAGGCTTCAGGTGGTGGTCACTTCAGAACGTATTATGGAGTCTCCTTGCTAAAGTAACATGATTAGTAGTTACTAACTAAAAACAACTGACAATAGTAATGATAGAATTGTCATGACCCTAAACCCTAAACCCT